CATATATATTTTTTGAATTCAATTTATGCGATAAGTGTGTTATATCTTATGTTATGATGAAGGTCATCAAATTTGTTCTAATACTCACTTAGTACCATTTAGCTGTGTTGACAAACTTTATCTAAATAGACCTATTGACGTACATCTCTATAAAATGTTGAGTCTGTTTCGTTAACTTTAAAATTAAACTTACTTTAAAATGATTATCAATAAGCCATCATATATTTTTGTCAGTTTCAAATGTTCGCACTATTTAACTTAACATTTAAACAACGTTCTTATTTGTTTATTCTTCTTAATATTATAATTTACTGTCGGTAAATATTATATAATGAGGAGTAGTTTTTATTTCATTTGAGGTCCAAGTACACTATCACATTTTTATAAATCGTTTTATATTTTTTTTTTTTTAGTTAGAGTAGCGCTCAGTACGTATATATTTATTATGTTTATACTTTTTTTTAAAACTAACAAGTAATCAAACAGTGTAATATTTTGATTCATATAAAGAATTCAACCTACAAGCAATCATTTTTGTGTTCTGAAATGTTAAATTACATAAAAAACACTATATAATTTTATATTTTTATAACGATTATTATTATTAATATGATTAACATGTTTTAATGTTTTGCCCTTGAATTTTTGACGTATACATTTATGAAAAGTAGTACTTAATTTGGGTTTAGGGCCACTGAGCTAGTATGGTTTGTATTTACTATACATTCTTGTATGTAAGAATAAAAATATCAAACTTAAAATAGTAACTTAATATGAAATGTTTCTTATATTTTTTAAAATTATTAAGTAGTAGTTGTCTTACCAATGAAACAATATCAACGACATTTTTAAATCTTGACGAGTAATTATTTTATTGTTTATGATGACTTATTTTTCTGATACTGTTTTGTTGGTTTTATTTTCAAGCTTAATTTTCAACTTTTTACTTGGATGAGCATTTTATTAAACATTAATCTAACTTATTAATTGAAATTATGTTTTTGTTTTTTATTAACTTAATTGACAACTTATTTGATGTATTCAAAATGTTTATTATTTAATTTTTAACTCCATTGAATCAAATAGATAGGTACATTTTAAACAATACATTATATTATAACTATATTATGTATCTTTTCAAAAAACAAAAAATAGTTTTTAAATTAATAGGTATTTTAAAAATGAAACATTATTTTATATGCCTACAAAACGTATTATTAAATGTTCTGGTTGACGAAATATTATTTATTTTATGATTTTTATTTTTTTAATTCCTCTCCAATATGCATTGAATTCAGAATTTCGTCAAAATATGCACTATAATGCAGTATCAAAAGATATTGTAATTACTATTTAAATTTTAAAATGTTTGTGTAAATTTAAAAAAAAATTTTAATTTGTTTTTTTGAACTCCTGAACATTATCAAAATAATATAACGTCATTAGCTCAATTTCTATTACGTACTACGTATTAAATATGAAGTCGTATGCAAAAAAAAAATGCTTTTGCCTATTACAAATACAAATGACTGACGAAAATTTCAAAATATGAAAAGGAAAAACATACAGTTACATAAATATACGAGTTATACTCATAAGATACGACCCTTATAAGTTTAGAAATTTCTTAAATAATTTTAACTTTGGGTTTGTCTACATAATTATTTTGATACCTGTCTATTCATAAATTCTGGTGAACTTGAACTAATGTATAAAATAATCGATTTTATTTAATTTTTTTTTTATTTTACTTAAGAACTGTTAACAGTCGGAACTTCAAATTTTCACCAAATAAAATGAGCATAGTCTGTATACGGCAGGCAGTCATAATTATTTTTTAGATGTATTTGAATTTCAAATTTTTTCAAAGTTCGTCGAAATCCCAACAATTTTTCAGTTAGAAATTCATAAAGTTTTTCTTTTTAAAAAAATTGAAAAATTAAAAAAAAGAAAAAATTGTGTTTAAGATTCCCCCAAGTTTTTATTCCTTAAACAAAAATAGAGTTAATCTGAAAGTCAATACAATGAGATATTCCCCATTTTCGTTAATTTTTTTTTTAATTATTAAATTTGATTATTTATACAAGTTAAAAATAATATTTATGTTTAGTTTGTTGTTGAAAGATAGAAATACAATTATTATTTTTCATATTTTGTTTCACTATTTTATTGATACTTGATTACGAAAATAGTATGCTATGTTAGTACTAGATCATTTTAAGTAATAGATAAGCCATATAAATTTAATTCAAATAAATGTTGAGATTCAATCAAAATTATATATCTGATGATCAATTCATTGAAATTATTAAATACTTACCATTTTAACCATATAGTAAAGTTATTTTCTTATATGATATAGATATACCAAAAATAATAGGATACGGTTACAATATAGTTTGTTTTTACAGATATGGCTATGGGATACAAATATCATGTCTCGATATGTAAGTGTATATTATAGCGTGTATTCAAATTAAGTATCAAAATATTATATTGTGACTATGTACCATACATAATGCGATTTTAAGCTTGCTTGCTCTATTTATATGCTTAAACTATGAATACATTCAAATTTAGATTTTATAATATAAATTTATATTATAAATCGGTTTTTGTTGAATACAATTTGTTTGGTTTGTGGGCTAAAAAATTTTTCTTTATATAACTATACAAATCGAATTATGTACTGTTCTCAGCTTTGAAGCTGAAAGGGAAATCTAATACACACACTTGAAAAACCTAATACTAATTTATTTTGCAGTCAGGACGATGAAAGAAAAGTGTGACAATATGATTCAAGATTTCTGTAAAAAAAAGTATAAGAATAAACACATTGTATAACTTAGGAAAATATTTATAACTGTCTAAAATGTAGTTGAATTATTTTGTTTAATCATTTTAAGATAAATATAAATTGAGTTATATGGTATAACACTATATTAAATTATATTATGTATATGAACTTGATTCTAATTATAATAAATATTATAAACTAGGTACTGTAACAATGCAAACTAAAATAAATGCTTTATTAATAATTCAATCTGTACCGAACATTAATAATAGTATACATTGCTAATATACTCGTATAATATAAGATATTATACACGATCACGAGATGTACGAAGTCATAGTAGAGTGCTGAGTGACTAGCACACTTACACGAACGTGTGTATAATTTTTTTGAACGTAGTTTGCAGAGATGGGATATAATTAAAACAATTGAATAATAATAATTGAGAGTTGAGCACTTTGACAAGTGGTGGAGCAACGTTAGCAACACAATAAACGAGGCATATAGGTATTATTGGGTGAATGGTGGATTTGAAACATTAATTCCTGAACCTCAACAACAGGACATACATGTGCATAATATATTATGACCTTATGAGTTTCCAAAAATGGAGACATTTAAAAAAAATAATTTTAGAAGTCAGTAATTAAGTACCAACCGGAGCACAAACCTAGAATATTGATATTGAATATATGGTTTGCTTTAAATTATGATGAGGTGCGAATTCAATGAATTTTAAACATAATATTAAGTAAGTCCTTGTTTCAACTCTCAAGACATCATGGCAACTAGAGTCAGAAAAATAACGACATTATCGAGAGTTCACTTCTCCAGAATGAGAAAATGACAATTTGTCACAAATAAACAGGTTTCATAGAATTCTTACATATAATTTTTATCACTTTCGGCTAACTTTTGAACAATATGAATTTTAAATGATTTATATTTCTTAATATACGCCAAACACTGTGATAGGTAATTTATAGTCGTGCCAATGTCATATTTGAATTTCGTGAGAGAAAAATATCCATAAAACTGATTTTTAGTTGATTTTTCTCCACGGCTTTTGGATATTTTTTTAATGGATAGACATAGTATAGTTTCTCTGAAGTTCTGCGTTCGTTAAAATTGTTGCTTATAATCGGATATTATGCTATCGTGAGTTGAGACAATTTCGTGCTCATGATCTTGATGAAATCATTTTTTTGTAATATTTGACATATACGACATTTGTTCCGCACTTAATAATTACTCTTCGTACGTATCAAAGCCAACAAAGATGATATACCACGCGAGGGCCGACTTACAACCTAGTTTTTATCCGTCAGTTAAATCAGACAGTTAATCCAAACTGTATACTTCTACTTTTCGAGAAATTAAACATAGTAAACATCGTAACATAGTATACGGTTAATATTACAGTCAGTATCAAAAGTGAGCGGTCTTGCATCATTTCTAGAGCTATTATTTAATAATATTGTAATCGGGATATGAATTTATAATTATAACGACCATGATGAATAAATACAATACGTGTTAAAATCATTTTTGACTGTAAAAACAGTAGCCGAGTAAAATTTATTTTCAAAACATAAAAAAAAATCACACAAATCTGGTACCTACGAGACAAATACATTTTTATTCGTAATGCAAACTGCCCATGGAGGAGGGAAGAAAACAAAAAAAAAAAACCTGTAATAATAACAATAATAAAGGTAGTTTTCGATTGTTATGGGACCACAGTAAGAAGACGTATTGTCGGAGGTGAGGGTAGGATCGTATATTGATTAACGTGTCTCTCTCGGCCAGGTAAACGACGACGGGAAAAGAGTGTGAGAGAGAGGGTAGCTCTACGACGGTACGCATTATATATATATATATATGTATATAAAAAGGAACGTGTGAGGGGATAGGGGGGTGATGGCGAACCACAGACAGGGGGTGAATTTGGATCAGACGGTGATGGTGTTGGTGGTGTTGGTGAGAGCTGGAGAGAGTGGAGTACAGCAAAGGGATGAAATACAAAAATGCGTCGAAGGACTTACGCCCGCCGCCACGACCAGCGCCACAGGTCAACTTGTTGTTGGTACTCTGAATTTAGGCGCGCGCAACGGCCCGTCAGCCAGCCAGCCAGCCAGCCGACAGTCCCGCCAGCCAGCCAACCAGCCAGCCCTTGAACCGTGGTTTTCACGTCGCATCGCAGTCGACAGTCAGTCACCGGTTGAACACCGGAACGTGAGCACGCGCACCCCCTCGGTCGAATCTTTTCGATCGGTCTCTGTATCGTTTGCTACCCCCCTCTTCTAGTGCGCAGTGTCTGTTGATCTTAGGTTCGCTCGCCCTCCGTCAGTCGTTAGCTTGCTCGTGCTTTCGCCAGTCCAGCTGTATTCTCGTACTTTGCCGTCGCTTGCGAGCGTGCGTGCTCTCGTTCGTACCGATCGTCACGCTCTCCGCTCGGCCCGGCAACAGGTGAGTGGTCCAACAAGTATTATATAGGAGGTACCGATACGACATAAAACGTATTAATATATATTGTAATCCAATGCCATAGTAATTATCATCCAACTGTTTTACAAAGAGTTGTAGAGTCGTCATCGAAAATAATACATAGCTAATGATTATATTACATAAACTGTACCTATGTAAATCGTGTTTGGGAAAATCTCAATATTATGAAATAAAATTCGAATAAATACAAATATATTATACGAGATGACTTTTTTGATAATCTCAATTCGGCTGGGAGCTATCAAAAACTAATAACGTACAGCGTACAAGAACACATCGTTTGAGCACATAAATCTATAATATATTCATATACCTTTTAAATAGTACTACCTATCTATATAACATTTGTGCTCAAGTGTAAACAAACACTTTTGTGTCCTTAACTGTTTCTTTTTGTGGGTGAGGGGGGTTGGAGGGGTTAAGACAAGACATATTTTATTCAAGCACATCGTTGAAAACCATGATGTATGTCTGCCTTCCTTCTTAACCATAGTTATCTACAAGGCCAGCAACCTATGAAAACAATTATACAAAATTAGCTTATACTTGTTGACCAGCCAAGGCTTACTTCGACCAACACGAGAGCTTTTTATAAAAAGCCATGAAAAGAGTTCATTAAAGAATTATTATCATTGTAACATATTACATTGTATTCACTATGGCTATAGACCAGGAATGGCGAACCTTTTTGTACCAGTGTTTCAAATAAAAATGTTGGTTGGATTTTGTTTTCCCTGCGTGTCCACTAGTTCGATAACCCTTCAATTTTTTTTTCAAGAACTTAAATATTTTTCAACTTTTACACATTCGTAGTGTGTGTCACTAAAATGGTGTGCGCGTGTCACAGGTTCACCATCTCAGCTATAGACTATTGTTATGACAACATAAATACAGTTATTTACAAAGGATAGGTATTTTTTTAATCACAGGTGAGCGTGAGCATTTATTTTTCTAAAGCATCTGATGGAATGTATTATAGTCACTATAATTATGTTTTTTTTAAATTTTATTGATTATATCGAATAATAATTCACTATAAAATTCTAGAAACATAAATTTATCACAACCCTATTAAGCTGGCTTATAAATAAAATGTACCTATATATTATTTATGCAAACTATTCATGAATTTCAAACCAGGCATTAGTCTATTAAATATTAACATTGTGCATTTTTAGTTATTGAACAAATCATGATTTTAAATAGGTACGCATAATTGTTTGATATTTCATTGATTTAATATAGCCAAAAGATAATACAATATTATCATTCATTATTTTAACCAATCGAACATTTAAGTAAACATTTTTTTTTTGCAACTTATAACTAATTATGATAGACAATATGCACGTTAATTGGTTTTATTGGTCTCCTGTGACCCGCCAATAAATGATATAATGTGGTGTTTCCTCATCAGCGGCTTTGTACATAACTATACCATTATACCAATATATACATATTATATTGAAATAACAAATTCAAATGTAAAGTTATCACATTATTTATCATAACGGAATACATTTGACCCTTATTTTAATTTTTGTAGTGCATCAACAGAAATTTTGATAATGTAACTTAACTTATATTTTTAAAAACTCTTAATTAACATTCTTGTAATCGGATAGGATTTTTAAAAGAAGAACCACATTTTTTATTCAAAGCTTTGTAATAATGTATTGATTTTACAATAATGTGAGTTTTTTTTATATATTATTTTATTCAACACTTTTTAGGGAAATTAAAATGTTCGATATTCATTATTGAGTTTAGTTTCTGGAAGTAAATTAGATTCAAGACTTAGAGCTATTTGATTCCCTGTACCTACTTTTCAAAGTTATCAGTACTTGATTCTAAAAATAAATTGTAGAAACTATTAGAAACACTTTATAATTAACGTGACGTACACAGTAATGATGAACACTCTGAACCATCTTAACTTTAGAGTGACTTTCAAGTATACATACCTAATATGGTTTTACTCTTGTAACAAGTTTGCACTAAAAGAACAGAATGTTTGGCTGATTTTTTTTGTTTTTTTTTTTTGTTCTGGTTTATTAGACACATAATACATATTATCTATTTGAGGTACATGTACATATCATTATAGAGATTATGAAAAAAGTCTGTTATTTACACCATATTGCATATAACTTGTGGTAATCGTATATCAAAGTAGCAGTACCCTACTAAGTAATAACGAACACTGTTGGTTAGTTTTTTTTGAGATTCTATCTTCAGTTTATTACTCAAATGGTCGCATAACGTAATTATAATAATTACACAAACAGTTATTATATTATAGTTACCTATAAAATATTTATGATGATAATCCACCGAATCAAACGAAAGTTGAAACAGTTGTCAGCACATAAGTAATTCAAGTTTAATTGAGATGACTAGGTGAGTATACTGTAGCCAATCAGACTCATCTTATTGAAACATTATGAATACAAATAAAAATAAAACGTTGAATGAATATTTGATATTAATTATGCATCAAAACTATTATTCAAACATTCTGTTTGTGAATATAAAATGTAATTTGGTATACAAACGTCATATTATAAACAACCTCACTGTTTAACATATTTTAGCTAACAACGCACTAAAAAGAAAGGTCACTGAAAATTTGTATGGTTAGAAATATATGAAGTTTACGTAGGTAAAATAATATAATGATTATATTGATTATAGTGCAGGTAGGTACATAATATAATACTATTCAATTTCCATTACTATTCGATGATTCTATAATGACTTCAGTTCATCGTTTTCCGTTAGTTAAGCCACTGACAACACCTCCGCGCTTATCATATTTGTTAGTTTCGACAAGTAAAAAATGTATGTCAACTCTATTATTTTCGTATGCATTTGTGGCAACTCATTGTGCAAACCGCGTAAACGGACACACATTGTAAATAGCTACCTACCTAAATACCTATTGTAGTAGAACCAAATACAGGAATTAGAAATGTCAATGTAGGAGATTAGGAGGTATAATATGATTGAGACTATTATAGAGGATAGTGGTAGGGGTTGTGAGTGTTCTGTAGAAATTATTCTATACGTAATATTATTATGATGTTTGAATTTTAAACTGGTTCTGTGAACTGTCATACAGTGACGAAAAGACAATGGACCCATGTGCAGTGGTTTATATCTATATATCCTTTTGCATGGAAAGTTCTCGTTTGATCTCGTTTGATTAGTAAACCTATGTGTCTAGATATTTCACTATGAAGTGTCTAGCTTTTGTTTCGTTCAATAGTCAAAATAATATATGAATGTGGGTTATGTCGTCGCCTCTACTTATTGGTGTCCTTTGCTTGGGACGTTACCTAAGTACGTTTTTAAACATAATATCGACATATTTCATATTTATATTGCACTAGGTAACTGTGAATATCATGCGTATTTTAGCATTATTAATTATCATAGTCGTGTGACTGTGTGGCTGGAGCATTTGATTCATGTATGTGTGTACTGTGTTTGTGGTGTATATGTGGTATGTGTGTGGGTGCGGGTGGCTCTTTCTCCGACGAAAAGATAAATTATTGTTTATACTTAAAAAGTTTCAAGTCGGTCGAAGCAGTATTAAACAAACGTTCGGGTTGAGTAATCACTATGAAAGCAACCAAATAATTTAACCTACCAACTATATAAAGCGAAGTTTTTTATTTTAAAAACTTCAGCAACAAACGGGAATAAACATTTTTATCCACTCTTTGCTCAACTTTGAGAGTACCCGAATATGTACCTACATAATATAATAATATAATAATTTATTATACACCTCTTATCGCCTTTACACTTGAACGAAATCAATTAATTGAATTGATAATATCCTTTTAACTTGGTTGAAAAATAAGCTCAATTATATGTGTTTATTTTTGTCTGTGTAATCTATTTTGTGTTGATCATGTTTTAATACTTTTAAACGGAACTAAAAGCCCCGGAGAAACTCTAAGTTTAGTTCATATATGTTTAATAACATAGATAAATATTAATAAATATATGGTTTTCGATAATGGAGATAGTTAAATGAGTTGATACATTTAGTTAAAAAATATATTATTTTATTTGTTTTAAATTCAAAGGCACAGGAACATATACCAACAACGAGTGGACGAACATAGACTGTAAAAACCCTAAAAAATAATAAAACAAGATATAAGACGATCAATATAATTATAAAACATAGTTTATAAATATAAATATTGATCATTTGCCGACGTCGTTATACACAACAAAGCTGATAAGAAAATTAATTTTCACTTATAGCAGACAACTTCACTATTTAAGACTTAATAATATTCACATAATATAATCATACAAAAAATTATAATATTTAAGTCTTCTCAGTGTGTCCCTTCTGGGGAAAATGCAGCTTCAACCGAAATGGGAGTTAGACGGTTCTGCCAGCCCTATGTGTTTATTAACACAGGGTTGGTTGCCTTGTCCTTTCGTCTCATATTGGATGGTTGTTGATTTGGTTGTCATAATATTAATGCTTCATTTTCGGCTATGGTAAGACAATAGTTTAATCTTTATATTGATAAGACCACTTCTTTTTTAGGTCAGGTTGGCTTATGTTAGATTTAGGTTTTTTTTGTTTAAATACTTGTTTGGATACTGGTCAAATGGTTGCCTATTAAATTAAGCCAGAAGCAAAGTAGAAAATGGTGAGAAAAATTCTTTAGGGACCTGAATGGAGGATCCGAAAAATCAATTCTATCGGTATTATACCTAAGCCTTCTTTCACCATTGAACGTAATCCCAAAATAAAAAAATAAAAAAACTGAATTGTTGTCCATTGTCCATTTGTAATTTATACACAATTTAATTTATTTAAATCATAACTCAGGTTTTGTACCAAAAATCTGTCACTTGAATTACGTGAAATGCCTCGATACTTGCACCCATGCTGTTGTTTTTGTTATCGTTTACTGTTACATGCTCAC